GCCTTGAACTTGTGCACCTCCAGCCTCAGTCTCCCCAATGTGAGAGTCCAGGACCGCGCCACCACGCCTGACTGTTCTAGCTCCTTTCCTTCTCTGAACACCTGCCTCCCCATCCACCTCCTTCCAGCCCCGATGACTGCAGGACAGGCGTGCCAGTGCCCCCACCGCTTTGTCCCCTCAGCAAGTGACAGCACATTGGCCACCCTGTAGCTGATGCCAAGACTCTGGCCTCACCACTCCCCACGCCGTCTGTGGCTCCCACCGCCCCTGGGCTGCGTGTCCTTCAGGCCCGCTCACAGGCTCTGAGCTGCCCGGCCTGGCCTGCTTCCCTAACACGCTCTGCGCCAGTTCCAAGCCTGGAGCTCTCAGCTCCCTGGACACCCTGTACTCTGTCCTACTTCTAGGCCTTTGCACACACTGCTTCCCCACCTGGGACGCTGCTGGGGTGAGGGCAGCAAATACAAACTGGGTAAAGTTCCCCCGACAGTGGCAATGAGAAAGTCAGACTGGGACGCAGCTCTCTCAGTCTGCGACTTGGTGCAGCCACCAGGCCGTCTGTCTCCCGCTCTACACTGAAGGATGCAGGAGCGGGGCAGCCACTTCTCCCTACACTCCACCCCAGCTTAGCTCCTCACACTTGTCCAGGTACAAACACTAGGTTAAAGCATGCATAAGGGAAGCAAGTCCAGTGTGATCAGGGGTATGAGAAGCGCAGGGGTCTCAGACGCATTTCCAGGGCACTGGCCAAATGCCCCTCATCATGGCCTGCATGCACCATGTTGCTCGCAGCTGCCAATTTCCTTCTTACTTGCAAAGTTTCCAGCCTTGCAAGAAGCTTTTCTAAAGCCAAGGAGGGAAGATGCTGAGGCCTTAGCCAAGTCTCTCCTCCACTCCCCCACCCTTTTGTTGTCGGTTTGGGGCCCGAACTCTGGGCCTGGGCGCTGTCCCTCAGCTCTTCAGCTCAAGGCTAGTGTTCTACCACTTGAGCCACAGTGCCACTTCTGGCTTTTATTTGTTGCTTATGTGGTGCTAAGGAAATCGAACCCAGGGCCTCATGCATGCAAGGCAAACGCTCTACCACTGAGCCACCTTCCCAGCCCCCACCCCTTTTTTTTGGTGCCAATACTAGGACATGAACTCAGGGCATAGGTGTTCTCCCTTAGCTTTTTCCACTCAAGGCTGGCACTCTACTACTTGAGCCACAGCTTCTGGGGTTTTTTTGGTGGTTCATTGTATAGATTTTCCTGTTTGGGCTGGCTTTGAATCACAATTCTAAGGTGTCAACCTCCTGAGTAGCTAGGATTACAGGTATGAGCCATCCTCTCTTCCAGCATTGGTTTTCCTCCTATAAAGCATTTTCCTTAGAATATCAGTACAGGAACCCACAAGGCCTGTCCACCATTCTAAAACCCTGAGCAGACCCAGGGCCTAGCTTGGAATGTGCTTAATGGGTCCTGGCTGAATGAATGAAGGAAAGGCAGGCAGGCAGGCAGACAAGTGGGTAGGGCCCAGAACTTGGCAGGACTGCCCCACCCCAGCATAACCCAGAACACCCAAAGTCAAAGTTCTCTGGCATGCAGCCCTGGAGCCCTCAGCAGGGCCTCACTTCCCTGTCTCTGACCAAGGCAGCAGTGAGAGCATCTCAGGAGTCACCGAGGGTCCTGAACATCCTACCCAGAAGGGTCCTGGGAAGGTGGGCAACATTAACTCCAGTAATTTTTGTTTGGTGCTGGTACTACATGCTGTCCCTTAGCTTTTTAGCCCAAGACTGGGGCTATATACCACTTGAACCACAGACCCACTTACATCTCTCTTTCAATTAATTTTCTTTTCAGTGGTTCATTGGAAATGTGTCTCAAGGAAGTTTCTGTGCCGGCTGGCTTTTGCAATGGCAATCTGCAGATCTCAGCCTCCTAAGTAGTTAGGATTACTGACGTGAGTAAGCACCTGGCCCTAACTGCAGGTATTTATAGCTGTTTACTTGGTGCTAGGCCGTGGGCATGGTCTCCTGAGGCCTGCTATCATTGGATTCCCACACCATGTTAGAAGAGAGGCGCCGTTAGAAGAGAGGGGGGCGGGGGGCGGGAGAAGGCTCTTGCAGGAGGCCCAAGCCTGCACCAGGGCCGGGATGCGTCTCCTCTCCAGACTCGGGATCCACACTACTCGCGCCGACCGCCCCCAGAACCGTCGCTAATGGATCCTCCGGCTGGCGCTTCAAGAGGCATGTTTGATGCAAGCTCTGCAAGTCGCGATCCCCGGGGCCCCCAGCCTACCGGGCGGGCGCGTTCGGCTGCGCCGCTCAGGGCGTGGCACCAGAACACGACCCGGCCCGGCCCCGGCTCGCGCGCCCCTGCAACAGGGAGCTCCGTCTCGAACGAGCGCCCCGAAGCCCCGGGTCCGAAGGAAGCCGGCACTCCCTGCACGCCAGGCGCGGCGGAGGCCCCCGGGGGCCGGGAGAGGGCGGGGCCGAAGCGCCAAGGGCCAGGCTGGGGATCCTTTCCCCGCCCCCTACGGACCCCGGCCCCGTTCCAGCCCACCCGGGCCCCCGACCCCGGGGAAGCGCTCCGGCCGCGCAGCCGCAAGGCGCGCGAGCGAGTAGCTCGCAATTTCGCCCAGCTCATCGCCGCCCGACTGCGCCTGCGCGGCGCGCGCCGGCCGAGCCCCTCCAAGGCTCACGGTTTGACAGTTCCCACCCCGGTCCCTCGGCGCCCACTCCGCGGGCCCGCGCGGCCTGGAGCGCACGGGGATGGGGGGTCGCTCCCAGGAGGAAGTCCCCCGAGTCCGCGCCGCCTTTTACCTGCAGGATATTCGACGTGGGTGAGGGTCACCGGCCGCCATGAAGCGGGGAGCGAGCACTGTCCGTCCGCTGCCATCTTACCCGGAGACCGGGCTTCTCTGAGCAGCCAATGGGGAACGAGGGGGGCGGTGGTCCTGACCTATCACGCCGGGGAGGCGCCACACACCCAATCAGAGGCCGATATAGGTAGTGGCGCAGCCATTGAGTGTTCAGCCCTTTGGGCTGCAAGGAGCAGCTAATCAGACAGCAAGAACCCTCGGCGCCTGCGAGCCGGCCCACGCCGCACCCAATGCGGAGCGAGCGCAGAGAGTTGTTTGACCAATCAGGAAAAGGGAGGGTTCCAGCCTTGAACAGAAAGCAGAACAGCCAACCCGAAGGTGTTTTGGCGTCAAGGGTGGGCAGGGCGAGCCAATCAAGGACTAGCATGAGGGGCGTGTTGTGCTTTGGTGGGAGCTTTGGTTCGAGCGGATCTGCAACCCAGACAGGAGGGTTCCGTTGTTGGAATCTGCTGGACACCACGGAGTCTGAACTGACCTACTTTTAACCATGACTAAACTGAGGTCAAGTACGACTTCTGCTACTAACCAGACTGCCTTTTTGTTCACAAAGTGCTCAGGTCGAAAGGGACTTCCTGGGGAGGAGAGGGGTACACCAGGCCTTAAACACTTAACAAGAGGGGAAGATGGAAGCTTTTTTTTTTCTTTTTTCTTTTTGTCGGTTGTGGGCTTGAGCTCCGGGCCTGGGTTGCTGTCCCTCAGCTCTTTCACTCAAGGCTAGCACTCTACCCCTTTGGGCCACAGCTCCACTTCGGATTTTGGGGACCAAGCACCAGTGGCTCACGCCTGGAATTCTAGCTATTCAGGAGGCTGAGATCTGAGGATTGCGGCCCAAAGCCAGCTCAGGCACAAAAGCCCGTGAGATTTTTTTTCCAGGGCCTGGGCCCTGTCCCTGAGCTCGGAGCTTCAGCTCAAGGGGAGCGCTCTACCGCTTGAGCCACAGCGCCACTTCTGGTTTTCTAGTGGTTTTATTGGAGATGAGAGTCTGACAGACTTCCCTGCCTGGCCTGGCTTTGAATCATGATCCTCAGATCTCAGTCTCCTAAGTAGCTAGGATGACAGGCGTGAGCCACCAACGCTCAGTAAGACTTTTTTTTTTGTCAGTCGTAGGGCTTGAACTCTGGGCTTGGGTGCTGTCCCTGTGCTCTTCAGCTCAAGGGGAGCGCTCTACCACTTGAGCCACAGCGCCACTTCTGATTTTCTAGTGGTTTTATTGGAGATAAGAGTCTCACGGACTTTCCTGCCCAGGCTGGCTTTGAACCGCGATCCTCAGATCTCAGCCTCCTGAGTAGCTAGGATTACACGCGTGAGCCACCGGCGCCCGGCTCGGTAAGACTCTTATCTTCAACTAACCACCAGAAAAATGGAAGTGGTGCTGTGGCTTCAAGTGGTAGAGCACACTAGCCTTGAGTAAAAGAGCTCAGGAGCCGGGTTCTGGTGGCTCACACCTGTAATCCTAGCTACTCAGGAGGCTGAAATCTGAGGATCTCGGTTCAAAGCCAGCCCTGGCAGGAAAGTCCATGAGACTCCTATCTCCAATAAACCATTAGAAAACCGGAAGTGGCGCTGTGGCTCAAGTGGTAGAGGGCTTGCCTTGAGCTGAAAAGCTCAGGGACAGCGCCCAAGCCCAGAGTTCAAGACCTATGACCGACAAAAAAAAAAGAGAGAGCGAGCGAGCTCAGGAACATTGTCCAGGCCCTGAATTCAAGCCCCATGACCGACAAAAAGGATGAGGAGGAAGAGGAAGAGGTGGTGAAGGAGGAGGAGGAGGAAAGAGGGAAGGAAGAAGGAAATTGAAAAGATTCTCAGGTTTTCCTGAGGCCTGACTGGACCCAGTAGGGATAGAAGGAACCTTGGTTATTTTTCTATTCCCTGGAGCTGCCATAGAGATGTCTTGCACTCCCACCTGGAAGAGCCCTGGGCAACATCCCTGAGCAAGGCCTAGGTCCCATTAGCAACACTAGTGTTTATGGATGGAGGGAGGATAAACCAGAATTCATCAGCCAGAGTGGCTCGCTCTACCAGTCTGGCAGGGTGGCTGGACTGGGCAGGGGTCATGATGGGGACTTTGACTCCACCAGTGGGCCTGGAAGGCCCCTCCCCCAGCTCAGTTTACTCAGTTTCCTGCCCAGCCTTGTTTGGGTCTGCTGGTCTCTGGTCCCTGTCACCTGCCCTTAGCCACCTCAGGCACTGCCATTATTAGCAGGTGAGAAGCGGGAGATGAGAGGAATGAGTTGTGAGCTTTCTAAAATAGCTTCCCTGGGCCAGACAATCCTTACCCTTCTGTGCTGTACTACCCCTCCCAAGTAGGCCCAGAGAGGCCAAGTCCACAAGTCAGGCTTGTTAGACCCCAGGGTGCTCTCCCTGGAGAGCACTTGAGGGACTGCTGAGTGGAAATTACAGGGTGGGGTATTTCTGGTGGAGGAAACAGCTTAAGCCAGAAAGAGAAAGGGGAGTGAGTCACTAGGGAAAGGGGGACAGTGGCCTGGCCACCCAAAGCCTGGGCTGGGAGTGGTGTGAGTGTGTGTGTGTGTGTGTGTCTGTCTGTCTGTCTGTCTGTCTGTCTGTGTTTAAATACACGTTAGCCATACGTGGTGGCTCAACACCTGAAATCTTGGCTACTTGGGAGGCAGAGACCAGGGGGTTCCACTTTCAAGACCACGCAGGACAAAAGGTTAGAGGAACCCCATCTCAACTAGTAACCTGGGCATGGTCCTGCGATGCAAGAGGCATTGAAGTATGTGCCTGGCCCCAGACATAAACAACCAAGACTCTGTATAAAAAATAGCTAAAAGTAAAAGGGCGGAGGCAATTGGGTCAGTGGTAGAGCAAGCATAAAGTCCTGAGTTCAAACCTCAACACTGAAAAAAAATAACAAAATACATCTAGCCTGGAAGGATGAACTCTGCCCGTAATCTTAGCACTTGGGAGGTGGAGGTAGGAAGATTTTCACTTTGAGGCCAGCCTGGGCTACATGGCAAGTTCCAGGCCAGCCTGAGCTATGCAGCATGACACTGACAAATCAATGTATATCACATTATATATGTGTGTGTATTTTTTTCCTTAATTTTTATTTTTGGCCACTGCTGGGGCTTGAACTCAGGGCCTGGACATTGTCCCTGAGCTTTTTTTGCTCAAGGCTAGCACTCTGCCACTTGAGCCACAGCACCCGTTCTGGCTTTTTCTGTGGTACTAAGGAATCAAACGTAGAGTTTCAGGCATGACAGGCAAGCACTCTATCACTAAGTCACATTCCCATCCCCATGTATATTTTTATACATACGTACATGCAGAAAATTCCAGGAATTGAGTGTATGTAGCTTGATGCAATTTTACAAACTAGATGTGCTAAACAACCCCCAAATAAGGAGCCAGGACCCCAGAAGCACTCCAATCCCAACACACACACACACACACACACACGACTTCTGACATCCATTAGGCATGCCTAGAGTTTGCACCAGCTATAAACAGAAGCTATAACACTACACTGGACCTGTGACTCACATGGAGCACTGTGGCTGTGACTTGTCCACGCTGAAATTGTCTCATAGCTGTGTTTTCTTTCTTTCTTTTTTTTCTTCTTTCTTTCCTTGGTCATGGAGCTTGAACTCTGGGCCCGGGCACTGTCCCTCAGCTGTTCAGTTCAAGGCAAGCGCTCTACCACTTGAGCCACAGCACCACCTCTGGTTTTCTGGTGGTTTATTGGAGATAAGAGTCTCATGGACTTTCCTGCCAGGCCTGGCTTTGAACTGTGATCCTCAGATCTCAGCTTCCTCAGTAGCTAGGATTACAGGTGTGAGCCACCAGCACCCAGCCCAAGCCGTGTCATCTCTTAGAAATAAACATTTATTTCACATGCTGCTCTTGGGGACATCTGGGGTATGGCCAGCAGTGCGCTGGAGCTATGGCAGCCAACATGGATGTGGACTGCATTGTCCTTTCCAAATAGGCCCAATTGGAGATGCCTGGAGATGCTTTTCTTTCTTATTTTACTTTTTGGTGCCAATCCTGGGGTTTGAATTCAAGGCCTGGGCACTGTCCCTAAGTTTTCATGCTCAAACCTAATGCTCTACAACTTGAGCCACAGTTCCACTTCTGGCTTTTTGGTAGTTAGAGATAAGAGTCTCATAGACTTTCCTGACCAGGCTGGCTTCAAACTGCAATCCTCAGCTCTCAGCCTTCTGAGTAGGTAGTCTTAAAGGTATGAGCCAGTGGAACATGGCCTCCTTCCTTCCCTCCTTCCCTTCCTTCTCCTCTTTTGAGAGAGGGGAGGGAGGGGAGAGGAGGAGAGGGAGGGAGGGAGGGAGGGAGGGAGAGAGAGAGAGAGAGAGAGAGAGAGAGAGAGAGAGAGAGAGTCTGCTAGTCCTGGGGCTTTAACTCAGGGCTTGCTGAGCTTTTGTTTATCTTGTTCAAGGCTAGTCCTCTAAGGGTTGGAAGCTTGGCTCAGTTGGTTAGAGACCCAGCCAATGAGCCATCTCACTCTGGGGGTGGGAGGGTGCGGGGAGCAAGGCCAAAGTGGAGTTGTGGTTCAAGTAGTAGAGCAATAGCCTGTGTGTGTGCATGCACGCATACTCATGCATACCCACGCAAGTGTGCATGTGCTTAATGAGATAAGAATCTCACAGACTTCCCTGCCTGGGCTGGCTTTGAACCTTGAATCTCAGATCTCAGCCTCCTGAGCAGCTAGGATTACAGGCGTGAACCACCTGGCACCCAGCTTCTTCCTCTATTTTTGTGGTACTGGGATTTGAACTCAGAGCCTTGAACTTGCTAAGCAGGCACTCTGCTTCAAGCCCTACCTCCAGTCCTCTCCTTGCTTTAGTTTGTTTCTAATAGGACTTTACACGTTTGCCTGGGCTGTCTCAGAGGCAGATTCTACAGCTGGGATCACAGCATTTCTGGAGATACACCAAGGCAGCATCACCTGGTCCTATGATGGCGAGGTGAAGGTGACTCAGCCCAGATGTGTGGGAGGAGTCTGAGGCGCCCGCCTCCTCTTAAGCCCAGGGTTAGACCCGTGGTATCCCTGACGTGGCTGTGAGGCGCCCCATCCTTAGTCCTACCCTCACAGTCACCCAGCAGATCAGCTCTGAGTGCATCCAGCTAAAAAATGAAAGCTGTGAGGCCCAAAGCACGCATCCATCTGCCAGGGGCACCTGGCTGGTGGCTCTGAACCAAACTGCTAGCTGCCTCTCCCACCGGACCAAAAGAAGCCCAAAGCCCAGCATCTCCTGAGCCTCGTCCCAGAGCCGGGGCCGGCCTAGTGCATCTGGCCCAAGTATAAGCAAGCATCTCACCACACTGGCTAGGAAACCCCCTGAGATGCAGGGGGCACTGTTCTCTGGGCCAGAGGTTCACTCTTTCTTGAAATGCTTGGGCTTCCTGGCCAAGATGGTGCCACATGTGGCCTCTAGGATGAGGAGGGAAGCTGGCTAGCCTGGGTTCCATCCTCGTGAAATGTCCATCTCAGGGAGGTTGTGGAACTCTGGTGTCCAGAAGATGGAAGTTAGAAACACAAACAATCTCAAGCTAGAAGCCACTTTCATTGTCAAAACCCCTGCTAGAGCTGGGCCTGGAGGCCCATGCCTGTAGTCCTAACGACTCAGGATCTTCATTGATTGCCATAGGACTTAAGTTTGAGGCCAACTAAGGGCAGAGAAGTCGACAAGTCTGGACTGTCTCCAAAAAGCAAAAAATCAGGACTGGAGGTATGGCTCAGGTGGCAGAGCACCAGCCAAGGATACAAAGATGAGCAGGTATAAGATGGTGGGTTCCAATACCAGCACCACCAACATAAAAGTCATTGCTTCATGCTGGGCTTCTGCCCTCCTCCCTGGGGCCTGCTGTGCAATTCTGCTCATCATCACTCATGTAATTGGTGACTGGGCTTGGCCTGGTGGTCCCCAAGTCTGGCACTGTCCTGCAGACGTTCCTAGGCACAGGATTTGCTTTTGAGAGAAGTGCTCAGACCAATGTGTGGGGGGAGGGGGTGTCCTGAGGGCCAAACCTGTAAGCATCAAAGGAATGATGTAATGGGCTGTAAATCCCAGATCAAGACCCATGGCCTCTTCCTCTCCACCTCTTGTCCACTAGGAGGGGGGCCCACACTGTGTCACCATGCTCCCCCACAATGTGGGGGCATCACGAGACTCAGCAGTGAGGGAGGCACGTGACCATGGACTGCACCATCTCAAACCTGAGCCAAAATGGGCCCTGCTTCATAAAAACAAGCAACCATTTATGTGTGTTTTCTTTTGTCGGTGGTGGGGCTTGAACTCAGGGTCTGGGCATTGTCCCTGAGCTTTCACTCAAGGCTAATGCTCTACCACTTTGCACCACAGTGCCATTTCCAGTTTTCTGGTGGAAATTTGAAGAGCAATGTCAGACTTTCCTGTCTTGGATGGCTTTGACCCCTGATCCTCAGATCATAAGTCTCTCGAGTGAGTAAGTAGGATTATAGGTGTGATTCACAAGCTCCTGGTTCTTTATAGCTTTTGAGTTTGCTTTCTTCTAGTGCTAGGGATAGAACCCAGTGCCTCATTTATGCTAGGCAAGAATTTTACCACTAGCTGTACCCCCAGCCACTACCCCTAAACACACACACAAAATCCATGAGAAAGTTAAGCAGGCTGTGTTGGAGTGAGCTATCAGCAGAAAGGGGAAGATTGGAGAGGGATGAATACACACACACACACGCACGCACGCACGCACACACACACACACACGCACGCACGCACGCACACACATGCACGCACACGCACACACACATGCACGCACACGCACACACACGCACACACACACACGCACACGCACACACACATGCACACGTGTGGATGAACAATGGAACTGCTTGAGATTGTCATAAGGGGGACAGAGATGGAAAGGGAACATGCGGGACTGGGAAGGTGGCTCAGTGGTAGAGCGCTTGCCTTGCATGCATGAGGCCCTGGGTTCGATTCCTCAGCACCACAGAAGCAGAAAAAGCTGGAAGTGGTGCTGTGGCTCAAGTGGTAGAGCACTAGCCTTGAGCTGAAGAGCTGAGGGACAGTGCCCAGGCCCAGAGTTCAGGCCCCATGACTGGCAAAAAAAAAAAAAAGAAGAAGAAAGGGAACATGTGCATGTGTGAAAATATAATGGAACCTCTTTTAAAATAAAATGTGGTTTACACTCATTAAAACCTGGAAGCAGCACTGTGGCTCAAGTGGTAGAGTGCTTACCTTGAGCTGAAGAGCTGAGGGTAATGCTTAGGCTCAGAGTTCAAGACCCACAACCGGCAAAAAAAAAAAAAAAAAGGCTAGATCTTTTGCGAAGGTGGCTTAGTGGTAGAGTGTTTGCCTAGCAAGCATGAACCTCCAGGTTCAATTCCTAAGTACCACATAAACAGAATAAGCTGGAAGTGGCACTGTGGCTAAAGTAGTAGGGTACTAACCTTGAGCAAAAAAACTCAGGGACAGTGTCCAGGCCCTAAGTTCAAGTCCCAGTACTGGCAAAAACAAAACAAAAAACCTGGAAGCTGGCTGCCAGTGGCTCACACAGCTAGTCCTAGCTACTCAAGAGAATGAGATCTGAGGATGGTGGTTCAAAGCCAGCCTGGGCAGAAAAGTCTCTGTGAGACTCTTATCTCTAATTAACCATTCCAAAACAAAACAAAAAACTGGAAGTGGTGCTGTGACTAAAGTGGTAGAGCACTAGCACAGAGGCTCAGAACAGCGTCCAGGCCCTGAGTTCAAGACCCATTATGGAGAAAACAAAAAACAAAACCTGGTGGAGCTGGACAGGGGCTCACACCTGTAATCCTAGCTCTTCAGAAGGCTGAGATCTGATTCAAAGCTAGCCAGGTGGGAAAGTCCATGAGATTCTTATCTAATAGACTACTCAGAAAAGGCCAGAAGTGGAGCTGTGGCTCAAGTAGAGTGCTAGCCTTGAGCAAAAAGAAACTCAAGGCCAGCATCCAGATCCTGAGTTCAAAGCTCAGGACTGGCACAAAGAAACAAAGAACTGGTGGGACTGGCTTCTGCTGTTAGTGCCCACCCAGCCCTTCACCTGGACAGGTGATTAGAAACGGCCTGCGAGTCTGTACTTAGGTCTGGTCCAATATTTACATTTTACCAATGTGGAAACTGACGCCTACCATGAGAGCAGCAGCTTCCCCTAGATGGTCCATGTGGATCAAAGCACAAACCACCCACGGCCTGTCTGCACTTCACATCTCCGCTGACCTTTGTCCTCTGGAGCCTCTACCCAGTGTGTCAAAGCCCCCAGATCTGGCCCAGGAAGCCAGCAGCCCGCACCCCATGGCCAGCTGCGTGCGCGGAGCCTGTTTCAATGGTTTATTTGACTCCCAGCTGATGACGGACGGACTTGGAAGCTGCAACAGACTGAGTGCTAGAGGCAGTGCGTGGACACGTAAACAGGACAGAACAAAAACGCCACTTCTGCGCCGTCTGGGACCATCAGAGCCGTGGTCCAGGGTTACATTCAGAGCATGGGGAAAAGTGCAAATAAATGGAATGTGGGGGCGGAGGGGGGAGGGGCTGCTCCCTCCAGGCATCTGCCACGCAGGCGCCCATGTCTCCTCCAGCCTGGGGACCAGGCTCTGGGGTGCTGGCCATGCCCAACATCTCCCTCTCCTGAGTGGGCCTCCCTGCCCTCAACGGCCCTCTCCATTCCTGGGAGGGGACCCTGTGCCAGGAGCCAGTGCTAGACCCTGGACAGAAACAACTGGAGTCTTCTGGAAGGAGCAGCTCCTCCAGATGGTGTTAAGGCAGTATGGAAAACCCCATCTCAGGCCGAGATGGGGGAATGCAGGGCTGCCGGGACCCCTGCGGCAACTGGGACAAGGGCTAACAGGGAGATCCGCAGGGCCAGCGCGGGCCTCACACTCCTAATGGCTCCAGAGCATGTGTGCGTAGTGTTGAAGGCCAAGTGCTGGCACAGTTCTTGCTGTGTGTGTGTAGGGGGGAGGGGAGCGGCGCTGGGCTGGGTGCATCCTCTGCCCTCCCCAGCTCCCTGGCCGCCAGTGGCAGCACAGGTGACAGGGGCCTGGGTGACCCCCGGGCCAGAGTCCCCAGCTCCATGCCTAGCACCACCAGGGAGTTCCAGACACAGGGAAGGCATGGGGCACCCAGCTCCACCCGTCTTTGGTGGTGGCAGAGATGGGGGAGCAACGATGGTCTTTGGAAGGGCGTGATGATGTGGGGGGACAGTGCCCTGGTTTGGTGCTTCCATTTGTCAAGAGCTGGTCCCTGCCTGTCGTACCTCTGACAGCCCAGGCCTATGGCCACAAGGTGCCCCCGTCCCACGGGGCCTGCCTGTGCTCCCCCCTTTGCCTCCTCCCCTCAGCCCCTCGCCTGCAGCCTTGGGAGAGGGAGGTGTCAGAGATTGTGGGGTCCCACACCAGAGCACCCTAGCTCCTCCTGTCTCAGTTCTCCACACCACTTTCCTGCTTTTCTCTCGGCCGGGCCCGGGCAGCTCCAGCTCCCCCGGGGAACCTCAGGGGCAGCGAGTGCACCCATAGGGGCTCAGCAACTCTCCATGGATGTTCGCCCTCTGGGCCTTAGGGTTCCCAGATGAGGTGGGGACCCGCATGGCTTAGCCCTGGGCCCCGCAGCCCTTGGACACCAACTCCAAGGAAGGGGGAACCTTCTCACTGCTACCCCGGTGTGAACGAGGCCCAGGCAGCAGGCTGCCCTCTCCTGTGCCTGCCACTACTGCAGCTCCTCCAGGGGCCCATTTTCCCGGGGCAGTGCCCCATTGAGGCCGACACTGCTGGCCGCTGGCATCCCCAGGTAGCCCAGTAGGATGTCACTGCGGCGCCGGGAGAGCTGCAGAATGTCTTCTGCCAGCGCGGGTACCGAGGTGTACCGCACGTTGTCCAGGTCGAACATGTCCCTCAGGTAGTGCACGATCTGGTGCTGGGGGTACAACAGGCGTCAGCGTGCGTGCCCCAGTGATGCTCTCCACACCCAACCGAGCCCCTTCTCTACGGCCAGGGCTCTAACCTATCCTCCCCATCCACAGCACCTCTGGGGGCTCCTGGGTACCTTGAAGAAAGCACAGACTTCGGCCAGCTGGGGCTTGGGGCCAAGGAAGCCGAAGGCCAGGACAGGGCTGACGTGCTCCGATACGGAGTAGAAATGGGAGATGAAGCCGTCGGGCACCTGTGGGGGAGAGGAAGGACTAAAGGTGGGGTCCAGGGGGTCGGGGCTTACCAAGCCATGGTGGGGCTTACCAAGCCATGGTATGGCTGTGGAATCAACTGAAAGGCTCCTTTATATCCCAGCTCCTTCACCTGTCCAGTGCTTGGGAAAGCGGCTTGGGGGCGTGGCAGCGCGAGGACGGTGTGAGGCGGCCCCGGGTAGGAAGCACCCGGGCACAGGCTGTGTGCGGCAGAGCCACACAGGGGAGCAGGGCAGGGCCCGGCAGCGTGCTGGGCAGGAGGGCTCTGCAGGCTCTCTGGGCATCCTGCCACCGCCATTGTCTAGACTCAGCCAGCCCACTTGTGTGCACAAGCCTCCTGCTTGCCCCAAGCCCCACTCCTCTGCTAATTTCTGAACACATGCTGGGGTCACTTCCAGCTTTGGAGGTGACAACACTGTCCTCCATGGCCTTTGGGGAGCTCCTAAGGGAGGAGGGGCAATGTCAGGATGGACAGCCAGCATGGGGAGTTAAAAAGCCATGGGGACAATGGGCCTCAGGAGCTCCAGGAGGCCTCCTGTGGCGGCCACTTCCCTTCCTCCCTCTAAGGGAGTCTTGGCCATGCCCAGGCTCTGGCATGGCTCTCCTCTTGTCACTTACCATTAGGAGCCTCCTCTTGGCTTTCAGGACCGACCAGCACGCAGTAGCCAGGGCCTAAGGCAGAGAAAAAGACCAGCCAGTGTCAGAACAGGCCTGATCTGCCCCCGGTCTGGGATCAAGCTCTTATCTGCAGTTTGCCCTTGCCTGGGAAGGAAGATGAAGCTCATCTACCTGAGCTCTGTCCCGTCTCTCCTCTCAATTTGGAGTCAGACACACTATTTCCACTTGATTCTGGACTCTAGTCCCTACTGCTGTGGGTCTCTGGACTTACTGACCTTCCCTGAGCCTCAGTTTCCTCCTCTGTCTACTTCATCTGGGCTTGTGGGAAAAACAGTGATGTCTGTAACCAGCTTAGCTAAAGCCAGGCTAGTCGGGTTCTGTGACTCACCCTTGTAATCCTGACTGCTCAGGAGGCTGAGATCTGATGAGATTTGACAATCACAGTTTGAGGCAAGGAGGGAGGGGAGGCAGGAAAGTCTGTGAGACTCTATCTTCAATTAACCACCAAAAAGCCAGAAGTGAACCTGTGGCTCAAATGGCAGAGCATCAGCTTTGAGGGAAAAAGTAAGAGGCCATTTAATTTTTTTCAGTCCTGGAGCTTGAAGTCAGGTCTTAGACACTGTCCCTGAGCTCTTTTGCTCAAGGCTAGCACTCTACTACTTTGAGCCACAGCACCATTTCTGCTGGTAGTTAACTGGAGATAAGTCTCATGGACTTTCTTTTCCGGATTGGTTTGAACTGCGATCCTCAGATCTCAGCTCCTATTATAGTTGTGAGCCTCTGGCACCTGGCTGGCGTTTTTCCCTATTTTAGCTTAACTAATTGGACTGAATCAAAACTGGGCTGAACTCATGCCATCTCTGACCAAGCAGACCTGCCCAGGTGAAACCATGTGAGGGAACTCTCATGCGAAACTCATGGAAGTGGGTGTCTGGACCGGACCCCAGCAGTCCTAGATCATGGAGGCAGGTGCAGACAGGAACTGCCTGATGGGCACCCAGCCCTGGTGTCCCCAGCAAGGATGGCAGGAAGGGGCTCAGGCAATGGCCTGGGACCAGGTGATGGGGTGGAGGGGGGGGGGGGGTTGGCCCACCGTCTCCTTGAAGCTGTCTGACAGCCAGCGGTTCCTCAGGACGGCGAGCACGGAGGACGGGGGGTTCTCTAGGTCCTCGAAGGCGTCCATGAGGATGAAGTCGAGCACAATGTCGAAGAAGCTCATGCACACCACCTATAGGGAGGCAGTGCCTGAACCCGCGTGCACATGAAGGCCTCATCCACCACGTGTGACTGAGCTCACACGCATGTGAGGGCTTGTGCGCTTGAGCCCATGTGCAGGTGGAGGCCTCGTTTCCCCGTTTTGTACTGGGGTGCAGCAGGGGCTGCCCTCATACATAGGCCTGGGATAGAACAGGAACCCATGTTCTGACCAGCGCCAGCGCCATCTCGGCTGCCTGGAAGCAGTGGAGCTCCACAGCCCGACCTCCAGCCATGACCTCGGTAGAGGGGATCAGGTACTCACCCCACGGCCTTCCAGCTCTAGCCGGGTGGTGGTCCAGGTCTCAGGCCGCAGTGCATAGCTCAGCATCTCCTCATAGCTCTCCAGAAAGCCTTTGGGGCTCTGTGGAGAAAAGTACAGCCTGTTCCGTGTTGTGGGGAGAGGCCCTGAGACCTGGCTGGACACTCGCAGGGGCGAGCTGGGCTAGAGCATGGGGATGTTGCAAGGGAGGCCTGCAGCTTCGCCCTGGAATCATCTCCCCATGGCAGTGTATTGTCTGGAGAACTTAGGTACTGAGCACCTGCGGCTGGCCAGGGCGGTGTGAAGCCCGCCAGCACACTCCCACTCCACAAACAGCTAGGAGCAAAGATCCAAATCTTTGCAACCTTGTGCCTCAGAAGCAAGAGAAGGAAAGCGCAGCCCCATGTTTACCTGGTCTGGGCAGCACCAGCCCAGTGCCCAGGTGCACATCAGCAGTGCAAGAGTGGCACGGAGTTAGGGTAGAGCCTCAGTGGTAAAGGCCTGCCTAGCATGCAGGCGTGGCTAACACGCCACAGAGGCAAGCCTCCCCCCCCCCCCCCCCCCCCCCCCGTTCGGGGCCACGCCCACAGGGCTCAGAAGGGCTTTAGAGTGGCTCACAGACAGTAAGGAAATGGCCCAATTCTACAACTCCAGAGACTGGGCACGACATCTATCCAGGTGGGGCCAGTCCGGGCTCCATCTGCCTAGGGACCCCTAATGGGACTTAGCACAGGCTTTGGTGTTTGGGGGCTACCCAGTGGCCCCTTCCATTGTGTGTGCGTGTGCGTGTGCGTGTGTGTGTGTGTGTGTGTGTGTGTGCTGGTACTAAGGCTTGACCTCAGGGCCTAGGTGTTTTCATTCAAGGCTAAACTCTACCACTAGAGCCACACCTCTACTTTTAGTTTTTATACATCTGCCAGGCAGAGGAGCAACTGGAGGTAAACTGAGGTGTAGCACAGAGCTCACTGCAGGTCAGAAGGCAGACGCTGGATGGGTTAATCCTGACCACCTGCACCATAGGCTCTGGTCCTAGAGCCATCCTACAGCTCCCTGCTCGCTCTCTTCCATGTATATTTCACAATTAAGTTGTTTCAGCTAAAAAGAGAATTGAAGGGCTGGGAAGGTGGCTCAGTGGTAGAGTGCTTGCTTGCCTTGCATATATGAAGCCCTGGGTTCGATTCCTCAGTACCCCATAAGGAGAAAAAGCTGGAAGTGGCACAGTGGCTCAAGTGGTAGAGTGCTAGCCTTGAGCTGAAGAGCTGAGGGACAGCGCCCCAGCTCAGAGTTCAAGACCCACAACTGACAAAGAGAGAGAGAGAGAGAGAATTGAGCCAGGATCTAGTGGCTCACGCCTGTAATCCTAACTACCCAGGAGGCTGAGATCTGACAATCCAGGTTTGAAGCCAGTCAGGGCAGGAAAGTGTTAGGACTCTTATCTCCAACTAACAAGCTAGAAGTGATGCTGTGACTCAAGTGGCAGAGTGCTAGTCTTGAGCATAACAGCTCAGGGACAGCGTCCAGGACACGAGTTCAAGCCTCAGGATCTATTACCAAAAAAAAAACCAATGGAAATAATGTACTAAGAGCAGAGGCACCACATGCCAAAGCCCAGGGCAGCGCAGCATGAAGCAGCAGCAGAGCATCTAGCCTGCAGCAGAGCCCTGCGCCCCTCAGTCTGGACAATGCGAGGCGCCCACACTCACGTACCAGTTCCAGCTCCCATTATGGGTGGCAGCCGTGACGGACATCTTACAAAGGAGGAAGAGGTGAGACGATGAAGGGTTCTT